ACACCTATTACAAGAATTACATTCCCAATAAGAATTAACGAACCAATTAACACTCTCTTACCAGAATCCAGCGTAAACGAACGAAGCCCATCTCCATTTTCCTCAAGACTAAGAATGGAGTCGAAATCCGACACGAGAGGATGGTCAACAGGAAGTAACAAAACGAGTTTAACCTCGATATGGTCATCGAGTGCCTTGAAATGGACAGGAGATTCCGGGTCGACCAAGACCCGCGGAACTGGGATCCGAACCGAGTTCTCCATTAGGGATTCGCTGTCCGTATAGGAAACAGTAAGGAGAGATTGTTGGGGGAGAAGGCTGAGTTTTAGGTCTCTGCATTGGGCTGAGGGCTTCGTGTTTTGGTTGAATAGTAGTAAACGGAGTACTGAAGTGTGCGACTGGGCTTCCCATGTGAACCGCCAGCCGGTAGGGAATTCCGCCGCGGCGACGGCGGTCGAAGGTGTTTCAGCTGCTGATTGCGGTGACATTCTTTTGAAGGTTTTTTGGCGAGTTATTCGGGCCTGGCTAGTGATTAGGCAAGTAGAGTTATTTTGAGTTTGGGAATGGTTTTGCTCAACAGGCCGATGTTTTCAATTCAATGGGCTGATAAAATATGAAAAACAAATATCCAATCTCGAGTAGCCCAAGACGGTGAAAGGAGAAAGTAGGGTTGTTAGGCTGCAGTTTTTTTTTTTCAACAAAATTAAATTAAACTGAAAAAGTATAATCGATAATCAGCTGGTTAGAAAGATTATCCTAATTGTAAAGTGACCGAAAGAACGAGCCATGGGGAGTCGATTTAACATAAGAGCCTCTTCTCTCTCTACAAGGACTTACAAACAAGGGAAAAAAAATACTCCATAAAGGAGACTAAAATACTCTACAAATGGAGATTAACAACTCAAAAAAAATAAAAATAAAAAGAAAATAGTTATTTATACTCAGTTCTGAAAAATGAATAAATTTTTCACATCGCTGGATAAAAAGATAACTTTTTCACCCCAAAAAGTATGAATGCATTATGCGGTAATTATGCGATTGACATTGTGCGAAAGTTAAAAATAAAAAGGCATTCGCGTAACCCTTCGCACTTTCTAATGTGTATATGCGAGAGTTATGCGACTGATATGTGATAGTTATGCGAACCATTCGAATAAATTTCGCATTTTTCGAGGTGAAAAATTTAGATTTGAAACGTGGGTATACTAAGTAGAGTGCGCTCAACTATGTTAGAACACGGAATGTTTATAAATTTTCAATCTATGTTGCAATGCCAGAATAAGTTGNTATAAGTAGAATTCTTGAAGCACAAACAAGAGATAAAAACTCTTCGGGGAGCGTCTCACTACCCTCAGAGATCTTTAATTAATATATCGATTGTGCACTCGTGTATAGTTTGGACTTATACAACTAGAACTCCCTTCTAGTCTAGCCCACACTATACTCAATTCTATCAACTACTTCTCCGGCCACGTCCCGTGGACTTTACACACTCGAACCCCTCGAACAAACCTCGTACTTAATCCTTAAGTACTTAAAACGAAGTGGCTGAAGAAAGTATGAAAAACTAATTAAAAAAACTTTAGATCTCTGCTTGTGTAAGAACACCGAAGAGCTGAACAGCGAAACAAAATCAAAGAACAAAAAAATTGAACTCTCAATTGAAGCTCGAATGATATGTGAATGATGATAATCTTAGTAGCCTTCAATTGACCTTGAAGATGAGTATATATAGGCTCCTTAGGCTTGGAGTCCTTTCCAAGTAATTTTCTTCTCTTTTGATTTCCTTTCCAAATCTTAAGGTTGAAACATGGAAAGTAAATATTGCTCCTCTCTTTTCCTTGATCTTTTCTCCATGCACTACTTAAAAGAAGAGAAGGAACCTGCGGAGGATGATCGTCGACAACGTCCATCAGGGGCGGACGTTCTCTCAAGTCACGAAATCCATCAATAATTGACTCAATACTAATAGATCTTGCAATTTCTCTTTCGACGAAGATAGTCAAAAAATTTAGAAGAAAGTCATCTTCCATTTTACTTCGAAGTCTAGATTTAATAATAGCCATAGCCGAGAATGCATGCTCTGTTGTCGTCGTAGACACAGGAAGAGTAAGAATCAACCTTATTAATCTATCAATCAACGGATATACCAATGACTTTCTACTTATAAAATTTTGAATGCTGGAGGACATCAACCTCATTATGTTTCAATTGAACTTGCAGTAAATCTTTTTCATAATCTATGAATTTGGTAGGATAGAATTCACCGACAAGGAGGCAAGCATCATTTATATTAAAAGATAACCGAGAATTGTGAGGGTCGAACATAGAGCTAAGAACAAGTAGCTTCACAGCATGCTCACTAAACCTGTTGTTTAGCTCTTGCAATTCTATATGTTCTATTGTTTTGTACTTATGTTGAATGAGATTTCATGATTGATTAAACAAAATTCTATATGTTCTATTGTTTTGCACTTAGATAAATGGTTCATTATAGATGGACAAAAGATCATTTATTGGTTACTTGCGAAACGTAAAGACGGTAGTTCACAACCTAGATGGAAATTGAACAAGCCATTCAAACGGTTGTAGTGTAAATGGTACAGTTGATCTTGACTGATTAGTTGTACTAGCACAATTGTGTGTTGAACAGGACCTCAGTGAGGAGCAGTTCGTTTTGTACTGATCGGCGTAAACAAACTAGGCCTCGACTAATTACTATGTTCTCTTAACCTGTAAGATATAAACAGACATGTGTATGTAGTAATTACTACTTTGATTCAACATGGTGAGATTCATTCTGTATGGATCAATAACTTATTGAGTTGGGTAGTAAATACTGAATGACATGGTGTGCTGTTAAAATATTTATGGTCGTCGTGTGCTTCACATAGTTGAAGTTTGATAATGTCCCCGAAGTAAGCTCAGAAGAATTATTATGTTAAATCCTGTAGGTGGAATAAACTCCAACATCATAATAATGTATCGAGTGGTGCTAGCTTCGATTTAAGCGGTCGATTAATTTAATTGTCAGTAATTAAATAAATCGATGGGCATTATATCTTAAACATGGGAAGGTAATTCGAGTAATTTGGAATTGGAGATCAAATTGTAATTTGAGAATTAAATTGAGAGATTTCAATAATACTACTTTAGTGTAATGACTGTATTATTCGTATATGAGCGGAATGGGCTTGACACACAGTTAGGCCCAAATACTACAAGCCCAATTTAATGCATTCTTATGGTTCTTATTGGAGACTATAAATATACCAGATCTCTTATGTTGCAAGACATGACCAAACGCTTAAAACATAAGAGAAATCTGGATTCTCCTTTCCCACCAAAGGAGTTCTAGAGATGTTAGAAAATTTAATAAAAGATCCCAAGGTAGTCGAGCACCCAACCACGAGCGACCACCGCAAAGCGACACGAGGTCCCAGCGACCCGCACGCCGAGACCCGCTGCATCCCAGCACCTGCACTTCTAGACCTACGATGTTCCTGCGACCAGCTTGATGCTGATGCGCGCTCTTTCCGTCTATTAGTCCAATTCGGGACCTCGTCAGACCAGCCACTCATCTGAGCCAGCGGATTCAAATTCTGCTGTGCCAGTGCGCAAAGCAAGCATGCTTAGACACCGCTAATCCTGACGACCGCATGCACGTAGCCTCCTGCGACTCCCGACTACCTTGACGAAGAAATTTTCAGCGAGTAGAAAATCAACCAATCTCCATCAACAGAAATCTACACGTTTCAGAGTTTGCAAAGTTTGAGCCGTAAGTCTTCTACATGTAACTATAAATACGCTGCACATAGGTTTATTCGTAGATAAATTCGTAACTTGTACAATTACGACGATCCTTGTAGATCCAAACAGAATTTATATGTGATATTCTTAGAAGAGTCATCCTCAGGCCCCCAACTATGTTGAAGTCGTTGTTACTCTGGGATCGACGTCTCCCACCTCTCGACGTTCTTTTCGAGGGTGACCTAACTGATCCACTTTCTTGTCGAAGGTTGGTTAATGTAGAGACTGACAGAAGAATTTAGATTTTAATTTTTTTATGGTGATAGGAGGCAAAGAGATGATATTTGGAAATAGTGTGTTGAGAGATTTTATTTGGGCAGAGTAACGTGATGAAAAGAGTTGTGTGGAGGGTCGTGCTGCTCTTTTTAACCGGGACTTCAGGGCAAAATGCACCATTGAGGGAGGTAATATGTGGTGTTTTGGCTTGAAAATAAGTATATGTAGGGTATGACTATTGATAGGGAGAGATTAAGAGGCAATCTTTAATGACGGCTCTTCCTCTATTGCCATTTGTTGACGTTCTGGCGTTGGCGACAATTAATGGGGTGATTTTTTTAGGTGCATACGTAATTTAAAAGTAACGAAATGACCGAATGTCTAAATTAAAGTAATGAAAACAATGTGTGTAAACAAAGGACTTAGGGGAAGAGGATGTCGATCCCCTGGTTTGAAGATTGGAAAAAATGAAAAACAAAGGACATGTAAGAGTATTTTTATTGATGATTTTTTGTTATTATATTGAGGACGGTGTTTGTGTGGCATGAAATGCTGTATTTATACAGAAAATAGAAAAGTAAAAGTGTAATAATGATTCATGTCACTTAGAAGTTTAGGAGAGCGACACATGTCTCCATGCAAAATCTCAACTTTTGATGATTGGATCGACTGGGCAATTAGTTTATCAGTTTGTTTTGTCACTTCCTGTTCATGGGATGGACAACCTTCAGAAGAAAATAATAGATACAGATTGGGTTGTCATTTTTCTGTAATTCAGGCCCAACTCATAATAGGCCTAATTTTTGTACTTCTTGGCTTCGTGGGTCGGCCTAGAACATAGGTGATTTTTAAGTATAACACTTACAATGTTAGCATTTAGTGTTGAGATAATTACTTATGCCACGATCCATAAAACATTTATTTGCACTCTTACGAGTCAATAAAAAACAATTGCAAATGTGCCAAATCTTGTATTTTTAATTGCAACCTTTTTCCTTTTTTATTTTCTTTTTCCTTTTTCTTTTCTTTCCCCTTTTTTTTTTCCTTGTATCCTCTTACTTCCCATCATTTTTTTCCTTCTTCTTTATCGATCCCCAATCTTCTCCCAATCCTCAATTTCAGAAATTCCTTTTCAATTGTCTTCTATATGAGTTTGCAGGCCTCCAGACCTACGGTTTGCGGCGATTGGAAAGGGCTGACAAACGGCCAATTGATGGTGGTCCCGTCGGCTATAGCGGCGTCAGTCCGAGCTTTGCGGTGGCAGTTGTGCGACGCGGTCTTGGGTCGATGCGGCTGCGTGTGGGGGATTTGGTTTCTCGCATGATCGGTGCCTCGGCGGGGGCAGACCAGCGGCTTTGGATCTGAAAGCGATGCGGAAGGAGGTGGGCGGGAGATGACGATTGACGGCGAGGACAGCGGAGGAGGCGGAGTCTTCTTCATCGTGATCGAAGAATTCCTATCATCGAGGGGTTCTCGTCTTCATTGAAGTGGTCAGGGGCGGCGGGGTTATCGACGGAGGCCATCGGAGAATTTGGTGGTTAGGTTTTAGCTCAGTGGAGGACCATAACAGATTGTGTATATATGCTTTATATATGTAGTATATGTATAACTTTTGTTGTTGTATAGCTGCATGTATATATGTAGTAGGAAAGATTTGAATTGAAAATCATACTGTGTATATATGTTGTATATATGTAGTATATGTA